AGTTTTTCTAGATTTGAAGATGAGGCTGCATGTGAAGAGGATCGTCGAACGTTTCGAGAGGAAATCTCAAAACTTTCAACATCACTTGCTTCATCTGCGACTATTTACGTGGATAATCCTCCATTACAAGGTCGTTATAAGTTAATAGCAAGAGGTTCACGAGATGCATCTCGCAGAATCTTGTTAGAGCACTTGAAAGTCTGTCAAGAAGTCTACAATCCCGAAATGCTTTCTAAATTTAGTAAAATGATCGAAGAGTTTAATTCAATTATCCAAGAAACGATCGGGGCAATGAAGGTTGTTGATTATCAGTTTAATAACAACGCAAACTATATAGGAGAATTCATGTTTGAACGGGAAAGTATAATCGAAATGATTGAAAAGCGCAGAGAATTAGTAAAAGAACAAATGAAAGATCGATTTACAGCTAGTGCTTTAAGTCATGCTGCTATTTTAAGTGGTAAAGCTATGGCGATCTCGGGAATATGGTTCCCACCTGCTTTGGTGCCAGGTGCTGTTATATCGTTTGGTGGTTGGCTGAGTGCCACTGGTACTGAATCTGTTGCAATAATTAAGGAAAATGAAGTATACAAATTCTTCGAAGAAAGCCTTGCGAAAGACAAAGAAAAGCGTGAATTATTAGAACTCTCACAAATAGAGTTAAAAGAATCCATTATCAAATTAAACGAAATCCGTCCTCGCTTCAAGAGTTCAGAATACAAAAAACAGAACTTGGACAAAAAAAGAATTGACATAATTAAGACTGTGCTGAATAGTTTTCTTGGTGAAGAAATTGATACTGATTTATCTGAATTGAAATTAGACGATAACGAAAAAACTGAACATAATACTGGTTTGAAAGCAGTGAGAGCCGCACTGGAAGCTGTTTGTAAACCTGTGGCGTCTCCCATTTCAGTTTATTGTATTTATCGAGATCGACAGGAAATTGAAAGCCGTACTTCTTTGGACGACATGGATAAGATAATTAAAAGTTGGAGAGAAGAATTAACGGTTTTAAAAAAAAGAGAACTATTACTAAATGAAGAATATAAGAAAGTTAGGTGGTGTAAAGAGGAATTGGCAAAATTATCATCAGCTGTTGATTGAAAAAAACCCTATCAATTAGATTATTATTATTAATTTTTTTCATATTAAATTTTTTTTTATGCTAAATAAATGCGATTATTGGAATATTTTGATATATTAACGTTAATTTACATTGCTTATTGTAACACTAAATATTTAAAATCACTCATAATAAAAGTTAATGGAGCATTAAGGAGGATAGATTCTCGCGGCAGTTACTTCATATTGTGTTTTTTTCGTGTACCAACACCGGACGATTACTGATTATATTGATTTACTATGTCGAGCGGGTATACTCGTCAATAAATTTATTTTAATGATCATTTAATTACAAAATTCTTTGAAATATTTAAAACCTGCCGAAACATAACCGCTAAGACTATAATCAAAGATTTAATTATCTCATTTGGAATAAACCATGCGCTTTGTTATATAAATGTTATGAAATTATTTATTATTAACAGTCGGTTTACCGGTCGGTCAAAATCAATCAGTCGATCGGTCGGTTAAAGGCCTTTTAACATCCCTAGCCAGGAGACCATTTACTTATTATTATTCGTATTTTATTAACGCATCATTATGCGAAATTATTTAAAAATTTTAAAGCCAATCCAGAATTAAAGTTTCGGGCAAAACAGCATATTTTTGGGCAAACTCTACAAATCAATATTTTAGATTATGTATGGTATGAGCGTTTCGCAGCAGAAAGGGAGGAAACTCTAAAAAAAAAAATTTTTTTGAGTTAAAGTTGATATTGTTGAAAAAGTAGATATTATTTTAGTTTTAGTTTTACAAATGCACTTTAATAATTTTTTTCAGTTTTATAATAAAAAAAATATTTTGAATTATACCATTTAGCATCATAGTTAATAAACATATATTAATTATATTAGGTATATATATATTAGGTTGAGTTTGAATCGTTATATTATTAAGTTTTGACAGGCATTTAATACTTTGCTTAAAGAGCAGCTAAAAATCATTCGCTTCGTTAGTTCAATAAATTGAGCTTATGCAGCCCTCTAATGCAGGCAATTGTATTTAACATTTAGATTATATAGAATATTACCCGAAACGATGAATCCTAGAAAACTAAAAAAAAAAGAAGAAAGAACCGACTAAAAATAATAAAAATTAATAGTAAAAAACTTTACCAATGCAAATTGCAGCGATTCAAAAAAGAGTAAACAAAAGAAATCATAAAAATTAGAATAATTAATATCATGATGCAAAAAAAAAGAAGAAAAAAAATATACCTATCACATATCGCAGAAGCCCGAAATTATCAAAGCCGAATAAACCAACCCAAAACTAAAAAAAAAAAAATTTCCAAAATTTCAAAAAGATAATATTCGAACGTTTGTAATATATATGACATTACAACTGAAATTGGAGGCGTGAAAATATTCTGTTGCACAAGGTTATTATGTGATTATTTTGTTATTATACTTCATTTTGCAGCGAAATTTGTCTTCCAAATTTGAAGAAATAATGTTGTATAATTCAGATGGCCGCTGAATGTTGTGCGTCAGATGTCGATTTGCGTCAACTGACTGTTGTCATGCGTCAGATGTCTAATGCTGACCAAGCCTTCTTAAGGCACTATAAGATTGGCCCAAAATAGGCCCATAATTTAGGCCAGTCGGCAACGCATATCGTCACCTGAGGCACATCATGAACCTTCAAGAATAAATTGGATGATAATAAAAGTGGGTGGGGTTGATGGAACAACAATTTGAGCTTATTTACTTTCTTTAAATTTATATTGATTTTTTAAAGAATTAAACGGATTAATACTTCATTTTTTGCCTATTTTTCAGCTGAAGATTTTTATCTGCTGTAATTTTAGTTGCAGAAAAAATTTAAGAAAATTTCGTTTTAATATTTAAGATTTTGGTAAAATTATGTAATCTTTTTTTTTGCTCTGAAAGTAGTCGTTAAGATAAATATATTTTGTTAAAAAGTAACTTTCTAAAATTGCTATTTCTTTCCTGGTTTCTAATTTCATAGAAAGTTAATGGTAAAAAAAAAAAATTATTATATTTAACATGGAACGCCGTCATGGACAGAAGTTCAAATGAGATATTTGACGCTAACCTTATATAGTAAAGTTTTAATTTAAAAAAAGGAAATGATATTCAAAGGCTGAAATTAATTTATATACCGAAAATTACCAATTCTTGAAAAAAAATTAATCGCAAAATGGTTTCAAAACAAAACTTAGAAAAAGATTTGAAGAACTTGAATAAAAGATTTAAGGACTTAGAACAAAGCAAAAAGAAAGCAGATGATGAAAATCAATTGCTGCTCTACTTTTTATTGAATGAAATCGGTAGTAATGATTTAGATAATTTAAAAGAATTATTAGCAAGACAAAAACTTACTGAGATATTAGCAGAATTAGATAGCCGAAAGCAAGAAATTCAAAATTTAAGCTTTGATTTAACAATAACAAGAGAAAACGTGGGCGCTCAATCTAAAGATTTTGAAGAAAAGATTAAAGCCAAGCAAGAAACTATTAATACACTAGAAGAAATTATAAAAGAACGAGACGAAGACGTCAGAACCAAGCAAGAAATAATTAGTAATTTAGAAGAAAAAATTAGAGAACGAGAAGGAAAAAGCAAAAATTCTTTAGAATATGCTGATGGCGATACGCTTAAAAACTATTTGAAGAATAATTTTGATAAGCTTACTTGGGGAGATAAATACAACTTGGCATTTCAACTGGCTCGTGCTGTATCATATTTACATGACGAAGGGATTGTGCATCGTGATTTGGTAATTTTTCATAAAATATATTTTCGTCTGAATATGCTGTTTAATAATTAACATTTTTTTTTTATATGCATATAATAATAGCATTCCGGCAATATACTAATTCAACAAGGTGTTATTAAACTAGCCGACTTTGGATTATCGAAAAGAATTGAAGCAGCAACCAACCAATCAAATTCTTTTGGAGTAATTCCTTATGTTGACCCAAAATATTTTAACAGACGAAGTAAAGACAATACATCATCACAATTTAAACTGAATGAAAAGAGCGACGTATACAGCGTTGGCGTGCTTTTATGGGAGATATCAAGCGGTCATCCTCCTTTTGATGAAGAATATGACGTAAGTTTAGCTATCTCTATTTTAGGAGGACTTAGAGAAAAAATCATTTACACCGGTAAATATGATTTATTTATTTATTTATACAAATATAAGATTATTAAATTTTTATCTAATTTCAGAGTGTTGGGATAATGATCCAGATAAACGCCCAGTCATGAGGCATGTAGTTGATAAATTAAGTACAATTGTTAAGATAACAAAAAATAATCAAACAAATAATCATGAATCACAACGTCGTTTGGATAACATCAATGCTGTTTCTAGTATAAATCATTCATTTGGAGAAGAATCTCAAATTACTCGATTTAATCAGATGAATAATCAATACGTATCAAATAATTCTGAAATTATTCAACATTTGGCCGATCAGATGAATGTAGAAAAATTAGAAACAAATATTGAAGTAACGAATATTATTTATGATGATAGTATTAAAAGTTTAACGATTACGAAATTTAATAAGGATGACATATTAAACACCTTAGGAGGATTACAAAGATATCGCAAATTAACTAAACTCTTTTGCAATTATATTGAATTAACTAGCTTACCTACATTACCCAACTCCTTAACGGAACTTTATTGCTCTTTTACTCCAATAACTATCCTACCAACTTTACCCAACTCCTTAACGGTACTCTGGTGTAATAACACTAAAATAAATAGCTTACCAACATTACCCAACTCTTTAAAAATACTCTATTGCTGTAAGACTAAAATAAATAGCTTACCAACTTTACCCAACTCCTTAACGGAACTTAAGTGCTCATCTACTTCAATAACTATCCTACCAACATTACCCAAATCCTTGACGAAACTTTATTGCTATTATACTCCAATAACTATCCTACCAATTTTACCCAACTCCTTAACAGACCTTGATTGCTCGGATACTCCAATAACTATCCTACCATCTTTACCCAACTCTTTAACGTTACTCAATTGTTATCGCACTAAAATTACTAGCTTACCAAATGTACCAAATTCATTATATTCTATCACACCCGAATTTTTAAAAATTCAACACCTCAATAACTATCCTGATAACTCCTGTGCTATTATCTAAATGTTTACCTCTTTTATAATAAACTTTCACATAATTTAAAACTCTGGTTATTAAATTGTATTGTTTTATTCAATGTATAAAATGACCATAATTAAATTCATTAAACTTTACAATTTGAATGTCATTTTCTTATGTATAAACTTTTCTTTTATTCTTAAATTAAATAGCTATTGTTAATTATGAAAATTATATGAAATTATAAATCATTAAAATATTAGAAATTTAACATTTCCTTTTGCCTTTATTTATTTTTTTTTCA